GCTACCCTCCCCACCAAGGCCATGACTGGTATACTCGTGTCTGTGATGGGCCTCTCAGGTCTAGCTAGAATCCCACATCGCACCACATCGCACCACATCGCCTCACAGGAAGGCCTCCTGTTTCCTCTTGCCTTGTTTTGCCCTTAACCATAGGCATCCCTGAAGGCCCCACCCTTGACTCCCTTCTCTCCATACGCTCTAACCATTGGCCACTGTGGCCACTTCCATGTCTCCCATTATCTTTTTTTTTTTTTGCCTTTTATACATTGTCATTTCTTAATGCCAGAAATTCCCCCGTCCCTGTAAAATGTCTTTTTAATGTATTAACAATGGAGTCTCAGTAGACGGCAATACATAGAGGAATAATTTTCAATCATCAGTAGGGTTAAAGTTGCCAAGTTTGCCAGGGCAAGGAAAGGGAAGGAGGCCCAGATTTCTCAATTCACCACTATGCAGAAGGGGCGAATACCAGCTCTAGATCTTGAGTTCTTGCCTCCTAAGTTTACTATTCCGAAAGCCACATCCTTGTTTGCACCTCAGTTTCTTCCTCTGTAAAATTTATTTTACAGTTGGTCCCTTTCAGCTCTAACTCCATTGTTAATACCAAGACTTGCAACTTGACTGCCTGATACATTAAAAGATAAATATTTACAGGAATAGGGGAATTTTCTGACGCCAAGAAAAACCGAAAAAAACAATATATAAAAGGCAAAAAAAAATAGATAATGGAAGGAAAAGAAGTGGTCAAAATTGCCAGTGATTAGAGCTTATGGAGATAGATTCTGGAAGACGGTAGACAGCCTATGGGTTTGGCAGAAGAGTTGGCAGGCCAGTTTTGCTGGAATGCAGAGTTGGACTACAGAAGGGAGAGATAACTTGGGAAAGAGGCCAGTTCCTAGCAAAGTTTTTCTTCAGAGCTCCAAACTCCACCTGCCCCAATACTTCAAATCCTACCTGGTCAAAACTAAGCTCAACATATTCTTTCTCTCTTCCTGCCCCTGGTTCTCAGTCCCTTTGCCAAGCTCAGTTGTTTCTAACTAGGCAGCCTGGCTCTTCTCCACTCTGCCGCAGGGTACAGGCATCCTAGCTCAGAGACTCCTTATCTTATTGATTTGTGAGCAATTTTATCTTATCTCTCAAAATTCTCTGAGGTCAGGGATTGTTTTTTATTTTTCAGCGAGTATATCTATCTTATCCCCCTAAATTCCCTAAACCAGTATCTTTTAAAAATTCACTTGTTGCCTAGATAGGGACCAGCACAGAGCTGAATGGCTTAATAAATTGTTTACAGAGAATGAGAAAGTATAATGGTGTCCGGCAGAGTTTGTGCCGGTGTTGGGGGGAGGGGGTAGCCAGGGTGGATATGGAGAGGGCAGTGCAGCGGCAGAACAGTGGGGAAAGGGGAGGAGACTGTGCCTGGGGGTGGGGGTGGAGTGTGGAGTGAGATGTGTCCCACTAGAAGGCTTGGGAAGCTACCACCTAAGCTCAGGGAGTGAAGAGGGTGGCATTCGTGCCCTTGGCAGGACCCAGAGCCCTAGAGAGGCTCCCCGGGCGTCCTACCTGCCCCAAGTTGACAAAGCCGAACTTGCGGGCCAAGCGCTCGGCCTCCTGGCTGCCCCCAGGTAGCAGCACGGCCCAACTGCGGACATAGATGGGGGCGAAGAAGTGGCCCCGGCGACCCCGGCCCGTCCCCGGTTCCTGTCTGGACCCCTCTAGGGAGATGGAGACTAGAACCAGGGTTAAGATCAGGGCAAGGACCAAGGTCAGGGCCAGGGTCAGAACGAACCTCAGCCGGGTCCAGCCGGGCCGCATGGTAGCCTGGGGCCGGGGGAAGCCCCTCCCACCGGACAAACTGTCTCTAGGGCCCCAGGGGCGGTGTTTAAATGCCCCCTCCCCCGCCCCCGCCCCCACCCCAGGCAGGAATGGAGCAGCCCCGCCCCCCGGGCACCAGAGCGAGACAACCTCCGACCCCTGGACGCCTCTTTCCAGCTCCATGGCAACCCCTTTGCCCCCGCCCCCCCGGGGTGGGGGGGGCTTCATTCCCAGGGGGCTGTGCGGCCGCCGAACTACAGCCTAAGAGTGGGGCGGTCGAGGGGGGCGGGGAAAATGGCGCTTTGTGCCCTGGGGAGTGGGGGAGGACTGCTGGAAAGAGGGGACGCCCCAGGTGAGTGGGAACGGGATGAGACCTCCTCTCTAGTTCCCCCAGTCTACCGTTCCTCTCCCATGCTCATTCTTAAACTTGAGAACCGGGTTCGAGTTCTGATTTTACCAGGCTCGCTGTGTGACCTTGGGCCAGTCATTCCCCCCTTTTGACTCTCCGTTGCCTTCTACTGTGAAATGAGAGGGTTCCCCACCCCTGCGCTGAATTATGATCTCTAAGCCGGAAACGGTCTTTCTAGCTAGCATTTAATTAGTGGCATAGAGCGTGGCCTGAGCCCAGTTGCGGTCGTCCTCGGATTGAAGTTGATTCAGCCACTGAGTAGCAGCTGCTCGAGTCTTTATTGTACTTCACAGTATCCGTGTATACTATACAGCATACATGCAAATACTGAAAACCCCATTTTAAAGAGGAGCAAACTGAGACACCGAGAAGGGAACGGAACTGACTAGCCCAAAGTCGCACCGCTTTGCTAGTCCATCAGCCAGTCCATAAACATGTGCCAGACACTCTGTGCTAAGTAAGCGCGGGCGCTGTAAAGGCAAGTGACAGTCTGTTCTCCAAGGGGAAACACCATGAAAACAACTTCGTACAAACAAGCTAAAATCAGGATAAACTGGAGATAATCAGCAATGGGAAAGCACTAGAATTTAGGGCGATCCGGAAAGCTTCCTGTAAGTGGTGGGATTTTTAGCAAGAGACAGCTGGGATTTGACTGCCCGATCTATTAATTTCATCTAATCATTTGCCAAATTCTATACATTCTTCTCCTCCATCCCTGTCTTCATCACAGCTCGTACCCTGATTAGGACCACTGTATGGTCCAGCTGAACTGCCCTATTTGTTTGTTAACTTCCTTGCACAGTCTTTTGCTTTGGCGGTTGTACAGGCTGTCTTCCTAAGCCTCAAATGCCCTCCCTCCTAAGCTCACCCTCTTGGACGCTTCAAGTGCCTCCTTCTACCTGAGGTATTTCCAGATCCACTCCCCCTCCCCCTTGGAACTAGGGTTCCTCTCCTACCCTATAATGTTGGATTTATAATGTGTATATTTTGTATATATTTTCATTTGTGTCTTTATGTCCCTGGCACAGTGCCTGGCATATAGTAGATGTTTGATAAATGTATATGATTGATTGATTCATCACTTCTAGCGTTTTAATTGATCTCCCTGCCCTCCCTCCCTTTTCCAGTTTATTTTTTACACCAAAGCCAAGATAATCCATCAATCTAGGGTCCAAATTTACTATGTCACTCCCCTGCTAAAAATAACCTTCAGGGGGCAGTTAGGTGGCTCAGTGGATTGAGCATTGGCTTTGAAGTCAGGAGGACCTGAGTTCAAATGCAGCCTTAGACACTTACTAGCTGTGTAACCCTGAGCAAGTTACTTAACCTCGATTGCCTAAAAACAAAACAAAACAAAACCAAAAAAAACCTTCAGTGGCTCCTATTGCCTATAGGCTAACATACAAATTCCTCACTCACAATCTGCCTCCAACCTACCTTTCCACATTCATTTGATATTCTATTACTCCTCTTTAGGGGCTCTATATTCCAGCTAAACTGTACTGTTGTTTCCCCAAGCCCAAAGAGCTACCATCTCTCTGGGCTGGCTTCAAGTCCCTCCCATTCCCCTCCCCCATAACTGGAATGCATTTTCTCCCTATCTCTGCTTCTCAGAATTTTTGCTTTTCTTCAATAAAGGGCTAGGTTTAGCTTCCAAGTAACTTTCCCACTGAATTTTACTCCCCGTTAAGATAGGGCACCGCTCCTTTTCTTGTATTATTTTTATAATAATGATGATAAAAGCTAATATGTGTTACATAATACTTTAAAGTTGGAAAGAGGCTTTGCCTGTGTTATCTCATTTGGTCTTCACAACAACCCTATGTTGTTCTATTATTATCCAAATTTTATAGATGAAGAAACAGACTGAGGGAAGTTAAGTGACTTGCCCAAGGTCACATAGCTGGTTGTATCTTCTACTGCTTTACAACACAAGCTCCTTTGTGGGCAGGAATTGTGTACTTTTTATGTCTGTGTCCCTGGCCTCCGGAACTGAGCACTGTGCCATACACAGAAGCATTTAATATTTGTTGAATGAATGAATGTATGAATGAATGAACTAGGTCTTTTGATTCCAAATTCAGGACTCTTTCCACTACATCACATTGCATTCTGAAACATTTATTGAGCTTCTACTGTATGCAGAATACTAAATGAGACTTCTTCATGGATCTCCGAGGGAGGAAAAATTTGGAATGTAAAATGGACTGGGGGGGAAGCATGAAACTGGCTGGCAGAGCTACTTCTGCCGGAGGTGTGCGCCAAGAAGTGAGTTTAGAGGCCCAAGGATTAGTTAGGGAGAAGGGGGAGAGGTGGGGAGGAGCCCAGACTGGCCCCAGCCAGTCTGGGGGTGGGAGGGACTCGCGTAGGAGACCTGGCAGGTGTGGGCCTTCAGGGGCTGCCGGAGAAATAAAGAATGTTGCCCTCCAGGTCTCACCTGGCCTCCCCTACCCTCTCCAGTACCAGTCTCCTCTGCGTCCCAGTTCTCTCCCAGGCCCCGCCCCCTCTTTCCCCCCCTCCCATGTAGCTCACAGGTGGGTGGCTCGGAGCTCTAGGTGCGAGGAGGGGCAGGAGCGTGTTGGGAGAAAGGTCCCGCCTCCTTTGTCCGTTCCGCGCTCTCATTGGCCAGTGTGGGTAGGCTGGGCCGACCGAGGCCCCGCCTCGATTTCCTGTCCAATCCTATATCCAGGGGGCGGATTCAGGTCGTCCCCAGCAGTTGCAGGACCACGAGGTGGGAGGGAGGGAAGGGGAGGGACCGAGAGACTGGAGGAGTGGAGGAGTGGAGGTCCTAGGAGCCTGGAGAGGGAGACGCCACCAGCACCGCTGCAGAGCAGCGGGCCAGCCCTGGAGGTTGCCCCTCGGACCCGGGCCCAGTCATCCTCCTCCCCCTTTCTTCACCCCTCGGTCCCGAGAGCCATGGGTAACTTGAGGCAGCGCTTCCAGAGGTTCCTGGAGCAGAAGAACATTATCACTGATGTCCTGGGGAAGCTGGAGGAGATCACCGGTATCAAAAAGTACTACCTGGCTACAGGTAAGGCCCTCCGGTGTTACCTTCTCCAAACAGAACCTTAGCGTTCAGAAATCGAAAACCTTCGTCCGATTCCTCATATTGCAGATGAAGAAACGAATGCCCAGTTAGATAAAGGGACTTCCCAGGTTATGCAGAAAAGACTAGAAACCTAACCTCCTAGTTCCTGGTAGGGATCTTTATGGAAGCAGTTGTACTTCTTGCTACCCTTGGTAATTTTTATTCCCTGCCTCACTTCACTATCTTACAAACCTCCTCTCTCCCCTACCTTCAATTAACTGGCTTGGAATGTCATGGGTTGGGGGTTGATCTGCTGCTACCATCCCACCGCGGTAGCTGGAAAAGTTGCGGCATCACCCCCAGATTCCAGTCCCACCCAACGGCGCAAGTGGGAGTATTCCCTTGTATTTATAGGAGCTGGAGCTTGAAGACACCTGTTCTAGTGCTCAGGACCTCAAATCACTCAACTGTAGAATATTAGATCCATAAGGGAACCTTAGAACACAGAACCACAGAAGTGAGAAATGATCTGGGGCCATCTAGCCCAGCTCCCCCTCTGTTAATGGAGGGGGAAACCAACCCTTGCCCAAAGTCACACAAAGGCCAGAAAGATTGGGGGAGGGGAGGGGAGGGCAGTGCCTGAGGCTAAAGCAGTTTAGGCGGGGAAAAGGAGGACCTGAGAGGTGGGGCCGGTATCTACCGGGCTGCCAATAGCTAGCCTTTGGTCCATTGTGGAGCAGATTAACCTCCTAAGGACACCTTCCTCCCAGGCAGTCGGACCTAGTTCTCTGCTCTCAGGACCCTTCTAGGAGTTTCTTGGGCCCATTTAAATGGGGAGCCTTGCTTGGTGGGGGAGGAGTATTACATCACCTTGCTCTTTGATATCCCTCAGCTCTTGGACTTTGAGAGTGCTGTGCCAGGCACATTCTGGGAGAGGCCATGTTAAAAGTGTGGCTTGGGCACCCGTAGGTCCAGTAAGCCTGGGGCCAGGCTCTCCCTTCCCCTGGTTGGGGCCCTCCTCTAGGGAGATCCCCAGATTATCTCTTTCTGGTCCTTCCAGTTGCTTGGTCTGCTCTGGGGCAAGGGGGAGGAGGTGGCTGGCAGCGTGGGACAGAGCACAGAATGGTTCTGCTGCTTTTGTGCAAGGCCCTGGCAGACAGCCCTAGGGGCCAAAGCCCAGCCTGGGAGGCAGGGCCAGGAAGTTTCAGTTTGATCCCTGACTGGGCTAAGGGTGATTCCAGTTTATATCAGCTTTGGGGAGCACTTCCAGTATTCCCCCCCTCTCCCTCCAGGTGCCTCAGATACTTAGTGTACTCCTGACTGACCCGGCTTTTAATTAAATTTGTAAAGCTCTCAACTGAGCATCTCTATAGGTGGCAGGGTGGAGAAAGCATGGGGCCTAGAGTCAAGAAGACCTGAGTTTGAATGTGGCCTCAGACACTTACTAGCTATGTGACCTTGGGCAAGTCATTTAACCTCTGTCTGCCTCAGTTCCCTCATCTATAAAATGGAGATCTTAGTAGCATCTCTCTGCTAGAGTTGCTGTGAGGATCAAAGTCGAAAACAATCTGTAAAGCGCTTTGTAAATTAAAACTCTATATAAATGCTAGTAGCTGCTTGTTATATGTCAATTCATAGATTGTTAGAGCCAAAAGAGACCCTCAGTTGGGGTTTTCATGGCAAAGATACTGGAGTAGTTTGCCATTTCCTTCTTCAGCTCATTTTGCAGATGAGGAAACTCAGGCAAACAGGGTAAAGTGACTTGCCCTGGGTCACACAGCCAGTAAGTGTCTGAAGTCCTATTTGAACTCTGGTCTTCCTAACTCCAGGCTCAGAACTCCATCCAGCGCCACCTAGCTGCCCTAGAAGAGACCACATTTACTTATCTCTGTATAGATTTCTTAATCTAGTAGAATGTAAGCTCCTTGAGAGCAGGTTGTTGAATTAAATGGAATATAGTCCAACGCCTTCCCCCCAGTTTTCAGAGGAGAAAAAAACTGAGACCCAGGAAAGTGAAATATCTTATTCGTGATTACCCAGCTCCCTCAGATGATCATGATGTCGACGAGGATAATGGTAATAACTGAAGAAGGTATAGTGGCTAGAGCACTGGACTTGTAATCTGGAAGACTTGGCTTCAGTTGCTGCCTCAGATACTTAGTAGTGGTCAGCTGTGGCCAGCTGTGCTCACCTCTCTTTGAGTGTCTTCTTCTATAAAACAAGGGTAGGGGGCAGCTAGGTGGTGCAGTGGATAGAGCTACGACCCTGAAGTGAGGAAGACCTGAGTTTAAATCTGGCCTCAGACCAAACACTTGACGCTTACTAGCTATGTGACCCTGGGCAAGTCACTTAACCCCATTTGCCTAAAAAAAAGAGAGAGAGAAATAAAACAAGGGTAGTAGCTGCACCCACTTCACTGGGTTGTTGTGGGGCTCAAATGAGATATAACAAGTAGGTAAAGGCACTTGGAAATCTTGTTCAGTTTAGCAAGGTTTGTTTTTTTTTTTCCAGCCAAAGACAAGGTTTATTAAAGATCCTCCATATTAGTGAGACTTGAGGAATCTGAGAGTTTGTGAGCCTTTGGCTAGATTCTAAGAATCTTAAGCCTTTGGCCAGATTCTAAGAATCTGAGCCTATAGCAAGGTTTGTAAAGTGCTTTATTATACTTAGTTATTTCATAGTTGAACTTCGGCCTGCAGTGAGGCAGATGTTATCATCCCCATTTTACACATGAGAAAACTGAAGCCCAGAGTGACTTACCTCTGGTCACCCAGATAGCCAGTGGCAAGGGGAGGGGGCATTTGAACCCAGGCCTTATTCACTCCGAGCCTAGCCACTCTTTTCAGTACCCCAAGATACTGAGGTCAACCTGTTCCACTTAGAGATGAGAAAACCGTAGCCCACAGAGTAGAGATGATCTGTGCAAAGCCATACCCTCAGTCGGCAGGACGATTCTGCAGCCAGGCAAAAGGCACTATCTCACTCCTCACTGAAATTGTCTTCTTTCTTCAAGCCTTCTAACTCCTTCCCCAACCTCTTAGCTGAAGACCTTGCTTCTTATGTTTCTGAGAAAAGTGAGGCCATTTGCCATGATTTCCCTCCTCTTCTTTATTTAACCCCCCCCACCCTTGCCTCTTTTTCTCCAGTCTCTGACAAAGAAGTAGCCCTTCTTGCCAGGGCCATAGGTTCTTCGTGTATTTTTTTGTTTGTTTGTTTTTTTGGCTAGGCAATGGGGTTAAGTGACTTGCCCAAGGTCACACAGCTGGTGAGTGTGTGTGTGTGTGTGTGTGTGTGTGTGTGTGTGTGTGTGTGTGTG